CTAGTTTTTATTTTTAGGGAAATTTTTGTTAAGTTGCTAAGGATGGACTTGAACTTGTGAGTCTCTTGCTTCGGTCTCCTAAATTCTGTGATGGCAGGCCTGTGCCACTGTTGCCCGGCTGAATCTTGACTATTTAGACAGGTGGTGTGTGAGTCTCTCGCCATTTGTACCCTTGCTTCTGAAGATGTAAGATGATCAATTTGCCATGTTTCCACTGGGCCAACAGATGGCCAACAGCTCTCTGATGGTATCTCTGTGGTGGCCAGGGATTGGGAATCCCTCCATGTAGGAACAGGGGACGGTGAGGGGGAGGGATGATCACAACCTCAGCTGGAGTCAGGTGGAGATCTTTCCACCACCAGTTTCCCATTGTCCCATCCAGTGTGCAGGAAGTAAGTCACTACATTCCGAGGGAGCCAGCATCCTGTTGCCTAGAAGGGCCTGCCCGAGTCTGTGTCAGTCCCCACCTTTGCCTCTGGCCACCATAAGTTCTCCAGCTTGCTCTAACCCGGCTTTCCAGGCTTTTCTCGGCCCTCATATCACGTTGGCTTCCCCTCCCTCCTGCAGCAACCTCTCTTTCCCTGAATAGAAAGGCTCACAGCTATTGGCTGGCCAAGGAGTGGAAGACAGCAGCACAAAACAAAGCGGCGGCGAACTGGATTGGGGGTGTAGTGCAATGATAGAGTGCTTGTCTAGCATACATGAAGCCCTGAGTTTGATCTTTGGCACCTCATGAACTGGGTGTGGTGGCACATGGCCACGGTCACAGCACTCAGGCAGTAGAAACAGGAGGATCAGCGTTCCAGGGCATCCTTGGTTCCATAGTGAATTCTAGCCAGTCTGAGATACACAAAATCCTGCCTTTAACAAAAACAATAGCAAGAAAGCAAACAACCCACAACAACCCAAAAAGCAGCTATTGGGGAGGAATGAAGAACAAAGGGGTCTGTACTAGGATGGAGAAACCCACAGGAACAGGTGACCTGAACAAGGGAGAGCACATCGACCCCAGATGCTGTCCAGGAGGCCTGTACAAGACTGATCCAGACCCCTGAACATGGATGTCAATAAGGAGGCCTCTGGGACGGGGGGGTGGAGTGGGTGGGGGGGTGGACGGGGGGTGGAGGAGGAGGGTCGGGGGTGAGGGGAGGGAGAGGGAGAAGGGACTTGAAATAAGCTTATTCCCTAACTAGAACTAATAAAATAAAAAAAAATATATATTCATCAAAAAAAAAAAAAGCAGTTATTGGTCCTGAGGGCTGAGACAGAGAGAGGGGGTGTTGGGAGCAGGAGATGGTCCCATGGCAGGTGGACAACTTGAGTGGGGCCCACAGATGTGGCTGCAATGAGCATGGTGGCCCCTGAGCCGAAGTGCAGTTCTCCAGAAGACAGGATGGAAACCTGGACTTGGACTCACAGAGGCCAAGAAAGGGGGGGACAGGAAGTAGCCAGTGTTCAGATTCTACTTCTGCTTCCCCTCCCCCCACAACTCCCTGCAGCTGTGGACAGAATTCCCAAGTCCCTGGCCTCTCGTCACAGCAGGCCATACAGTCGTTATGCTGTTTTTTTCCCAAGAAGGGTTGTGGACAGGTGATGGCCCTGCAGCCAGTAAGGTCTGCACACAAGACTAACAGCAGGAGGGTGAGACAGGAAACCCCATGACCAGATTCCAGAGTGGACACTCCAGCCCCCACAGCCCCCACTGGGTGGCTGTTCCCTCCTAAGCCTCAGAGCCTGTGGGAAAAGACTTCACAGAGTCCATAATGCCCTCGTGAAAGCCACATATGTTCACCTCCTGGAAGTAATTATTCCTAGTCCACAATGAAGCATCTGGTGCTCAGAAAGGTTAAGTAGATTGCCTGAGATCACGCAGCAGCAAGCGATGGATGGGGCTGCCTAGGTCAGAAGGTAGAACGTGTGATTTTCTTACACCCAGGAACTCAGAAGTGCATCAGGCAAAACCCAGGGACTTGTGCATGCACGATCTGGAGGCCCAGCTGTGTTGGCAGGAGCCAGTGCAAAATGTGTGTGCGCCCAGCTTAGACAGCGGCAAACAGCACGTGGGAGTGTGTTGATGGCAGGGTGTGGGACGGTGGCACCATTGCCATGTGTGTTTCTGCTGGCAGCCAAATGTTCTGGTCTGTGTTGATAAACAACAGTTTGAGCAAGCAAGTGGCAGGCGCAGGGACAAAAGAGAAGCAGGAGGTGCTCCGGCCAGTGGGGGCGTGTCGGGGTGGCAGTGACAGAGGGACTGGAAGTACTGGCAGGTTGTTTTCTCAGCTGGGTGTGGCTGCCTGTGCCAAGCACCTGATGCTTATAAACATGAAAACAGGAGCAGGGACACTCTGTCAGGAAGACAGTGTCCTTCCTGGGGTGTTAGCCTCACGTTTCATCAACAGCTGGAGCCGGGGCAAACATGTCATTCCTCTCAGGCCTGATTCCTCAAAAGTCAGCTTCTTGAAAGAGCCTCAAGCCTCAAGCCCAGCAAGGCTCCTGGTTGTAACCAAGCCTTAGTCTGGCACAGGGTGAGCCTGAAAGGACATCTGCACTCAGAGAGACTTCTGGGTTCTAGCGTACCTCATTATTGCCCAGCAACTCCTCCAGTAGCTTCCCCTCCATTAGCGGAACTCTGCTCCATCTCAAAGCCTCCTCTCTGTCGCTTGCCTCCTCTTGGAAGCCCTCCAGGATGTCCTAGGAGGACTTTGGAATGACTCCCCAGAGCTTACTGTTAGACTCCATGCACAAACCTCAGCATGCAGAGGTTGCCTAACAAACACACATACAGGCAAACACACACACAAACACACACAGACACATGAACATGTGCGTGCACACACATACACACATGCACACACAGACACAACATTACAATAAAACAAATAAAATATCTTCCCATTCTGGGTGCACAGAGACCTGGATTAGTATGTGATAAAGACCAATCGGGGGCTACATAATTGTTGTGGCTTATCAATGACAGTGGTCAGGCCTGGTTTGTAAAGGAAGGGACATTAACCCACGGGAGCACACAAGTAACCCTGTCCCAGTTAACTTAGGGTCCTCTTTCCTTCCTTCCTTCCTTCTTTCTTTCTTTCTTTCTTTCTTTCTTTCTTTCTTTCTCTTTCTTTCTTTTTCTTTTTTAGTTTTCCAAGACAGGGTTTCTCTGTGCAACTGCCATGGCTGTCCTTGGAACTCACTCTGTACACCAGGATGGCCTCGAACTCACAGAGATCTACCTGCCTCTGCCTCCCAAGATCTGGGGTTAAAGGCATGCACCACCGCTGCCCAGCCTCAGGGTCCTTTTGAAACCAGTGCCTACATCCTCCAAGAGGAGGCCTGTGGCTGCATGGCTGAAGTCTGGCACCATCTGAGATTCCCATTCGGTGACTGAGGGGAACTGTAGCTGTACGGCTGGCTGCCCTGTGTGCCTGAGACCCTGGGTTCCATCCTCAGCAACAACACAAGGGAACAAATACCAAAATGGGGTCCTTGTTTGGTACCTGGAAGCTGAAGAAGGAAGTGGCATCCAGAGGCTTCTGTGGGAGATTCATAGGTATGTCCCCTAGAGAATGAGCCTCACTATCCGTACCTGACAGACTGGTGAAGAGATGACGCTTGGCTCTCTCTGTGAGAGCCCGGCAAGGGCCAGGCCTGTTCGCTCACACACTTCAAAAGAGCCATCATTGGCTTTTGTGCTTCAACAGGCCCACCCTCCCTACCCTACACGGTGCTTGCTTGTCACTCTATAAACCTCTATAAAGTTTGTCGGTTGGTTGGTTGGGTTTTGGGGGGCAGAGGGGTGCTTATTTGTTTGAGGGATTTGGAATTGTTTTTGAGGCAAGGTCTCTAGTATTCCAGGATGGTCCCTGACTCAGCATATAGCTAGCTGACCTCCTTAAGCATTTACTCCCCTTCATCCACCAGACAAGTGCCTACATCCCAAGCATCACCCCAATACCTAGTTTATTTGTGGAGGCCGTTTGCTTTTTAAGGCAGGATCTTGGTTTCTAGCTTAGACAGGGGTCAAATTCTAATCCTCCTGCCCCAGTCTTCCTGCTGGGCCTACAGTATATGCTCATTTATTCTTATGGGGCAGGGGAACCTGCCTCACAATGTTACACAAGTGCTCTAAGTTTTGTAGTTTACGTATTTATTTCTGTCTATTTTTTTTGAGATGGCTTCATTTCACTCTATAGCTCAAGGTGGCCTTGAACTCATGGCAGTCCTCCTGCCTCTCCTCTTGAATGCTGGGATTACATCCCAACCTGTTTTGACTTTTTAAAAAGTGAAGTGTAATTTTGTGTATCAAATATATAGGCAATATTTTGGCTTTCCATAAATAAACACTTTGACTTTAAAATTAATACATTTTGAACCCAGAGAGACAACAATTGAAGTCAGCCTGTGTCCACCTTTCTGGCTCAGGCATTCATGGGGGGTCCTGGAGAATATGTTGTGTAGGGCACCACAGTCCCATGGGCAGAGCAGCTCAGAGACATGCAGCCTCGAGGAGCTAGGTCCTGGACCCCCAGCCTTGGATGGGGGAAGAGATGACTGAGGAGAGGAGAAGGCCAAAGAGGGACCATTCCAGGCCCCACCCCCTTTCCCCAGCCTTCTCCATACCAGGCTGTCTTTAGCCACTCCTTCCAGTGGCCAGGGGCCAAGACAAGGTTTTCTTAGTCCCCTTAAGAAGGAGTCTTTACATGCCTTCCTTGCTTAATAGTTGCTTTGGGGGAAGTGTCAAGGGTGGCTACCTTGATAGCAGGGTACACTAATTTTGGACCTGAAGGGACCTCGGAGGTCATTTAGTCCATTCCCCTGCCTTCAGGCAGTACTGGAATGAGTGCAGCTGGGCAAGCCTTTATCTTGTTTTGAGGACTTCCGAAGGCAGGCACTCCACACCCTTCCTTGGACACTCATTCTGATGTCTAAACATTTCTAGCCAGGAAGTCCTTCCTCATGTCTAATCCAAACTCCCCATGGGATGATCTTCTCCCCTGTAGTTCTTGCAGGTCTGGATGGAAGCTGTTTCCCCCACTTCCTTTATCTGGGTGAGGAGCCACCAGTGACTTGGTCAAACTTTTCACTATGTACAAGTTGCAGTCACCCTTCAGTCTCGGTTTGTATGCTCAGAAGGTAAGAAACAGGACCCTATGTGTAAAAAGGTACGAAGCATGCTACTGTGGGAAGACTGTCATTTTTATCAGTTTGCAAAGCTGGGGATGGAACCCAGGGCTCTGCATATGCCAGGCAAACCCTCTGCCACCGAGCTAGACTTCCCCCAACCCCATTATCATTATTTCTAAATATTTGTTTAATTTTATGTGTAGGTTCGAGTCTGAGTGTATGTATGTGCACCACATGTATGTAGGAGTCCACAGAAGTCAGAGAGGAATGTAATCGCCTGGAACTGGGGTTGCAGATGGTTGGGGGCCTCCATGTGGGTGTTGGAAACCAAACTCAGGTCCTCTGCAAGAGCAGCCAGTGCTCTTACCATTGAGCCATCTTGCCAGCCCTCCTGTTATTATTGACAGATATTAGCCAGGTCTCCTGGCTGTGCCATTGTATATGAGCCTTTCCAATGTAACAGTACATGAAATAACTTATTTTATTAATTTTTGTTTTTTTTTTCAAGACAGGGTGTGTCTCTGTGTAGCCCTGGCTATCCCTGTAGACCAGGCTGGCCTCAAACCCACAGAGATCTGCCTGCCTCTGCCTCTGGAGTACTTAAAGGTATGCACCTTGATGCCCAGCTGAAATAATTGTAAACAATACAAGAACAGGGCTGGTGAGATGGGTTACGGAGGTGAGAGTGGTGGCCACCAAGCCTGATGACCTGAGGTCCTTCCTGAGGACCTACATGGTGGAAGGAAAGAACCAACTCCCAAAGGTTGTCCTCTGACCTCCACATGCACGCTGTGGTGTGTGTGTGTGTGTGTGTGTGTGTGTGTGTGTGTGTGTGTGAGAGAGAGAGAGAGAGAGAGAGAGAGAGAGAGAGAGAGAGAGAGAGAGAGAGGACTGGCATACATGTATACAATGTGCCTGCTGGTGCCTGTAGAGGCCAGAGAGGACATTGGATTCCCTGGAACTTAGAGATGGTTGTGAGCTGCCATGTGGGTGCTGAGATTAAAATCCAGGACCTCTGGAAGAACAGTCAGTGTTCTTAATCTGAGTCATCTCTCCAGCCCACAAATTAAAATTTAGTGCATTAAGGAAAAAAATAAAATCAAATATCAACTCCAGGTTTCAAAACTATCATAGCTCAGAAAGCAAAATATCATATATATATATCTTATAACCAGGTCAACTTACAACAAAACTTAACATTGCTTTTTACCATTGTTTTTAAGTAGCTCAGTTGGTAGAGTTCTTGCCCTACATGCATGAAGTCCTAGACTCAATGCTGGCACTTCCTGCACTGTATAAACCAAGCATGGTATCATAGCACTGGGGGGAGGGGGTGGAGGTGGGAGGGTCTGGAGCTCAAAGTCATCCTTGGCTACATAGTTAGTTTGAGACCAGCCTGAACTATGTGAAACCCAGGTGAACTCAATCAGTCTCAGGGAAACTAATGCTGTGGGCAGCCTCCAGCTAGGGCAGAAATCAGGAAGGTGTTTGAGAAAATGCCCACTAAAGGAGAACAACCCAGTTGGAGAATGAGAGGAGGAAGGAGCATCAGGACAGTGTGGAGGAAAGAGGTGTGTGTGGGGGGGTATCCAGCCTGCAAATGCAACCCTCTCTGGCTTCTAGAACAATCTGTCTCCCCTCAGAGCTAGGCAGTTTCTACTTCCACCAAAGCAGTGAACATGCAGGGCCAAGTGTCCTGTGCATGACCTGGGACCCTCTCCCATGCTAGAGGCAAATAGAGAACTCTACCCCAGCCTTGGATCCACCTGGAGAGTCACTCAGCATGGCCTGTCCGCTAATGACAGAAACTCACAGCTACTCAAGTAGATTCCTCTGCTCCTCTCAGTTTGGAGTACACAAAGAGGAAAGAAACATCCCAGAGTCCCTTATGTGCTAAGGCCCTAGATGGGAGGCAGGGACACAATGGGAGTGAAAGAAGCTATGCCCTCCAGGGACAGCTCCAGGCACACAGTTCACCTGTCACAGCTATCCCAGCTTTAATAGAGCTAGCTAGTCCAAGACCCAGAGATAGCTTGAGGAAAATGGCTACATCTGCCTAGGAGTCCTTAGCCTCCCGGGACCAACCGGGTCCTTTCACTGGAAGAGGATGAGCTCCAAGGGCCCCCGAACCAACAGAGTCAGGGTCCTCTACCTCGCTGACCATGGAGTCAGTAGTCCCAGCATCCTTAGCAAGGACAGGTACAGAGCTTCATTTGACAAGAAGCTACATCAAGGAATTACAAGCTTCCACAACCCAACTAGGGCCAAATGCCAGGCCCCAGGGCCCAAGGGTGAGCCACTTTGCCAGTCAACCTTCCTCATCCGTGAGCTAACGACAATGAACCTGGTCACCTTCCTCTGTCCTGTAAGAGGGTAAGGTTAATGAATGCCCAGCACCGGACATGACTCTATGTAAGAGCAGTGCGAGATGCCTTGAGGCAATGGCCTTCCTGACCCCTGGTTCTCTCTTCCTGGCCCAGGACCACAATTCAGCCTTGGTGCTCATCTTGTCCCCACCCTGCTGGGCCTTGGCTGGCACATCCTGATCTTCCTGGTAAGCAACTGCTTCAGTGAGATGATGGCTTGTGTCAGCCTGTGTGGCTGTCTGCTGTGTCCTCACTATTGCTCCACACCAGGCTTCTTGGACCATTTAAAATGTATTTCTATTTTACTTACAAAACGTAAGTAAATATAAGTCTGCATATATTTATATATACCACATAATGCCTGATGCCCAGAGATCAAAAGGAGAGCTGGATACTGGGGAACTGGAGTTATAGGTGACAGAACCACCCACGTGGGTGCTGGGAACCAAGACAGAGTCCCCCAAAAGAACAAGTGTTCTTTTTTTTCCTGTTTTTCACAGGGTCTATATAGTCCTGGGTGTCCTGGAGTTCATGCTACAGACCAAACTGGTCTTGAACTCACAAACATCCACCTACTTCTGCTTCCTGGGCGCTGGTATTTAAAGTGTGAACCACCACACCTGGCAAACTGTCAAGCAGCTCCAGCCCTGGTCCATATTCTCTCTCTCTCTCTCTCTCTCTCTCTCTCTCTCTCTCTCCCCTCTCCATATAGATGCAGGTTCTGAGTGCCAGAAGTACATCTTCCACAGCCGTTCCAGGAGGAAGGCCTGGAAAGCAGAGTACCTCCTCCAGGCAGCCTGCTCTGATCAGTCTTGGGCATGGAGGCAAATCGGCAGTTGGCATTTCTCAAGGGCTTGCGTTTTAGTAATCCCCTAACTTCCGTCTCCCAATCCATCCTACCATAGAGCATGTGACCACTGTGTGGTGGGTCCTGGGAAGAGCAGGCTCTATGCCCAACGAGGAAAACCAGATTCAGCTCTCGGTTGCTATAGCAACCATATCTCCCTGAACGCTTTCTCATTGGTCACTAAAGTTGACACCCACGTCTCTGCCATCAGAAGGAACCAATCAGAAACAGACTACGTGAGACCCAGCTGGGTGCGGGTCTGCGCCAGCAACTAACTATAAATTTGCCTTTCAGTGGGGTCCTGGAGCTCGGGGGCGGCATCTCGGGGGACGTTCCACAAGCTGAGCGGGGTGCAGGGAATGAGTGGGCGGCTGGATGAATGAGGCTGCGCAGCTCCAAGCTTGGAGAGCCGTGGGACAGACGAGGAGGGAGAGTGTAAAGGAAGGTGATGAGAGTCTCACGAGTACCGGTGACTGGTTCGAATCCTTATGTCCTCGCTGCTGTGTGACTTTTACAGCTTCTTTTTCTCTCTGTGTCTCCAAGGGGCAAAGGAGGAGTCAACACCTGTTACCTCGTGTTAATCCTCAGGATGAACATCCTAAGAATGTTTGTAACTCCCTCAACACAACCCGGCAGTGGAGGGGCGCTACTTTCACCCCACATTATACATGAAGACACTGAGGGTCAAGAAGAGCCCTGTGCCCAGGCGGTAGTTGGTGGGTGTCTGGGGGAAACAAGCAATGTCATTCCCAGCTCCACCCCACCCTGACCTCAGGCGGCCTGCCCGGAAGGATGGTTTGTGCCAAGACTGGTGGTTTCCTTTAGTCAAACTGCGTCAGACTCTCTCTGGGGGGTTAACCGACAGGAACTGGTGGCCCAGCCTTGGCTATGTGTAAGATCAAAAAGGGGCAGCTTTCTGGGCAAAGTTCTTTTGTCAGACAGATGAAAAAGATAAAGCAGTCCTTGCGAAGAAGGGAGAGTATAACTTCCCTATGTTCTTGAGCTCACGAATGTGCACCGGGGGGAGGCTGGGCCATATACCTCTGCTTGGGGTGAGCCCTGGATTAGACATTGAACGGGACCCCATTTTCCTTAGCTGTAATTACTTGTGGGACATGTGAGGCTCATGTCTGGAATGCCAGAACTTGGGAGACAGAGGAAGGGGGATTGCCACAAATTCAAGTCCAACCTGATCTACATAGCAAGTTCCAGGACAGTTAGAGGTACAGAGCAAGTCTCACAAATCAAAGGGGAAAAGGTGAGGAGTGTAGCTTGTTGGTGGAGTGCTCACCTAGCACATTCAAGACCCTGGGTCCCATCCCCAGCACTGTAACTAAATAAAAGAATTGATTAAGTAATTCAATCAGCTGGGGATGTAGTTCACTTGGTAGAGTGTGCTTGCCTAGCATGCATGAATTTGAATCCAATGCCTGGATTCGAACCCAGCACTGCATAAAACCACTTGTGGTAATGCATGCCTGTAACTCTAGCACAGGAGCTCAAGGACATCCTCAGCTACATAGAGGTTTCTGGTTAGCCAGGGCTATACAAGGCCTTCTTGCCGGGTGGTGGTGGCAAGTGCCTTTAATGGCAGCACTGGGGAGGCAGAGGCAAGCAGATCTCTGAGTTCAAGGCCAGCCTGGTCTACAAAGCAAGTTCCAGGACAGCCAGGGTTACACAGAGAAACCATGACTTGAAAAGACAAAAACAAACAAACAAAAGACCCTGTCTTAATCATCACCATCATACAAATTATCACCATCATTATCATTATTGTTAGCATTATTGCAACACACACACACTCACACACACACACACACACACACACACACCACAGTCTTGTCTTGTTTTGTCTTTTCAAGACAGGGTTTCTCTGTGTACTCTTGCCTTCTCTGTGTACTCTTGGCTGTCCTGGAACTTGCTTTGTAGACCAGGCTGGCCTTGAACTCACAGAGATCCCCCTGCCTCCGCCTCTCAAGTACTGGGTGTAAAGGCGTGCGCCACCATTGCCATGCTACACACACAGGCTTCTTGGTGTGGCCTATAATGTTCAATGGTCAGGCAAGATGCTCAGTTGGACCCCACTAAAGCCAAAGACACTTCTACCCAGAGGTCTTTGGGCCTCATTTGTGGGGGCCTGTTCTCCTTACTAAACAGGGTGGTCCTAGCATGTATCAGGCTGAAAGGTTTAGTGTTGGGTTTAATCAACCATTTTGACAGTCCTAAACAGTCCTTCCTTTCTCTAGGAAAGACAAGGGGCGGGGGAGCCCCATGGACCCGCCCATTTTGTAGAATAGGAGGCTACGGTTCAGAGAAGTTAAGGCAGTTCACGGTCTGGATTGCATGGCAAGCTGTGATGCAAATGTCAAAAAGACTGACTCAACTGGCTCAGCACAGAAGGGAGCTCTGGAACTTTCTCAGCTGGGAGAAACAGAAAAATGGGGCAAGGCTTGCTCTTAACTCCCAAACAGACTCTTTGTCTAGCAGGAACCGTGGTGGTGTGCTGGCTGTCTAGCACCAGCACCGTACCCTAGCTCACCTTGTCCCTCATGGGAGCTGGCCTGGCACCAAGCCCCTGGAGGCAAAGCACAGCATCCCTAACTATACTCCCCAGCTCTTCCTCTGTTCCCACTAAGGTCCTCACCTCCATTGCAGCTCCTCTTGTTGCTTGGAAGGCATCAAAGCTTTCAGGAACTGAGCCTAGCTATTGCCTTGGAAGGCCCTCCCATGGTTAGCAGAGTTAGAGCTATCCTCAAGCCAGATGCTCCCTAGCTTCCAAGCAGAAGGGTGAATATTCAGTGTCTCAAAGTGCTCTCCCTTTTCTCTTTGTCTCTCTGCAGCAAGCACGATTCCTACAGCAGCCAGATACTAGGATTTTCCAGGTCCCTTATGAGCCTTATATATAAACTCTTGTATGCCTATATTTCTGAAAACTGTCATTAGACAGGTAAGAGTCAATAATCTCTAAGATAATATGGCAGATTTATCCTTGCTATATAGTCCAGGCTGGCCTCTAAACAAACTATGTAACCTAAGCTGGTCTTGAACCTAAAGTGATCCCCTGTCTTAGTCCCTTACATTCCTAACTATAATAGTGAATGTTATTCTTTGACACTTTAGAGTAAAACACATTACAGACTTATTGAGAGCAAGCTTTGTTATCATAATCACCATTTATTGTTTTAGTTCGGTTTTTGAGACAGGGTTTCTCTGTATAACAGCCCTGCCTGTCCTGGACCTCACTTTGTAGACCAGGCTAGCCTTGAAATCACAGAGATCTGCCTGCCTCTGCCTCCTAATAGCTGGGAATAAACCACTTATTGACTTTATTCAAGCCCCCGCCCCCCTGAAACCATGAGTGTGTGTGTGTGTGTGTGTGTGTGTGTGTGTGTGTGTGTGTGTGTGTGTGTACTCGCTGTCAGTAACCCTCAAGATCCTTATGTATCATTTAATTTAATTCTTACAACTCCTGAGGTGGATGATTTTATTTCCCATTATACAGAGGGGAAAGTGGAGGTGGCTAAGTTCGGATGTCTGGTGAGTGACAGCTTGAGGGTCAGACCCTCTCAGCGAAGCCAGAGCCCAGCGTCAGCTCAGTGGGTTCTGGCGATAGGGAGTGGTGGAGTGGAAGCTGGGAGCTCCTGGGAACAAACTTTGATCTTTCCTTCCTTTTCTCTCTTCTAACCTTCTCTCTCCTTCCTTTCACTCACTAATTCAGCCACCAAGAACTCACAAAAGTAAAGCCCAGGGAGGCCAGAACAAATATCCCCCTCCAAAGAGCCAACAGTCCCTAACAAGCTGGGAGTCTAGTTCAGTGGTAGAGGAATTGTCTAGACTATGTAAGGCTCTGGGTTCCATCCCCAACACCACCCCAGCCCCTGTTTCTATTCTTGAGTGTCTGGGGTGGGAGCTATGCTGCATGTTGAGCCTACAGCTGTTAAAGGCTTTTCATTTTTTCCTTAGGAGGCTGGGAGAGACTGACCCAAGGTCAACCCAAGGTCAACCCAAGACTGACCTCCCTTCAGAGCTCAGCCTCTCATCCCCAAGCTGGATGACCTCTAGCTGGAGATGCATGGAGAGCCCAGTAGGTATTTTTGGATTGATGTGTGTGCACACACAGACACACAAGGGTTACACGGTCACATAAAAATACACACTGCCTCTGGCGCCTTGACTCTGGTTCCAGGCACAAGAGGCAGCCGTGCTTGCAGTCTCTCAGCTCGTTTCCACCACCAGGAACCAAGCAGGAAAGGGAGTGGGGAAGGCCACCCTTAGGGCAGGGACAGGGACAGGCCAGCCAACTTCAGGACCTGTGCATGGAAACTCCTTAGGCAACTGATAACCGGGCAGACTGAGAAAACGACTAAGTGCTTGAAAGGTCTCCTAGAATCTCAGAATGACTTTCCTTGAGCCTCAGTTTCCTCTTCTGTGAGCTGACCTGTCCCCAAGCTGTACCTGAAGCTTATGGGAACGCTTTGTGGGAAACTTCCTAGGCTCAGTTAAATGCCTATCCCTCTGCTTTCTCATGGAGTTCTTCCTGGATCTTCACTGCAATTATTTCCAGTTTGAAGAGGCAGAGACAAGGCTCAAGAGCTTGCCTGCAGCCAGGTGTTAGAAATGCATCAAGGACTCACTTGGGAGCTGGTGGGATGGCTCCAAGATAAAGCATGAAGACCAGAGTTCAGATCCCCCGAAACCACATAAAATCTGGGCAGGTTTGGTGGTCACCAAGCACTCAGCAGGCAGAAACAGGGGATCTAGCTAGCCCTGGGCAAGCCTGCTAGCTAGACTAACTGGAGCTGGTGAACTCTGGCTTCATGAAGAGACTCTGTGTCTATAAATAAAGTGGAAGACCAGTGAAGATACCCGACATCCACTTTGGACCTCCACATACAAGCACAGACATGTGCACCTATATACGTATGCATGCATACCACACACACAAGGAGGGTGTGCCCATCTAGATATTTTCATTATTGTTTTTTTTTCTTTCTGTGGTAAGGTCTCATGTATCACAAGCTGATGTTGAACTCACTATGAAGCTGAGGATGGCCTTGAACTCCTGATCTTCCTGCTTTCACCTCTCAGTTGCATGAATTGACACCCACCAAGTCCAATTTGGATTTTTTAAAAATTAAATTACATTAACTATTAGTATGGGGAGTGTCACACCTATGCCATGGCTGAGGACAACTTTTGAGAAGCTGGTCCTCTCCTTTCACCATGGGTTCCAGGGACCAAACTCAGGTATACCCACTGAGACATCACACCAAACCACGCTCCATCCCCTGATATCAAGTCTGTCGGTGCCATCCAAGCTAACCTCAAATCCATGATTCTTCGCCCCTGTGCCTTATCTTATTTTTGAGATGGGGTCTTGCTATGTTGTCCTTGCTGCTCTCAAACCCCTAGACTCAAGTAATCATCCTGCCTCAGCCTAACGAGTAGCTTGGACTCATTTAGGTACAGGTCCTAGGAAGTCCATCACCCCACCCCAGCATCTACCAAGCCCTCACTGTATGCCATAAGCTAAGTCTGGGAGATAGGGCAGTGAACAAGAGAGCTTCCCTCCTACGTGTCCTACTGTCCTACGTCTAGGAACACAGTCCCAGCAAGGAGGAGGTGACACCCAGCAGGGAAGGTTTAGATGGTCTTTTGACTTAGAGCCTGCAGCAGGGCAGGGAGCTGCTTTGGTTTGCATAGTAGAGGATCCAGTGTAGCAAAGGACCAAGAAGAGAATGGAAATGAGGAAGCCTGGGCCCCTGATGACCTCAGTGTACCTGGTTCTAGTACGGTGCTGACTTAAAGGAGAAGTCAGAGCTGCTGACCCCTCAAAACTGCCCCATCTACCCAGGTGACTTTCGGCTCCTGCCTGACACTCTCAGTCTTGGATGCTGGCCTGTCTGGAGTTTCCTGGTCCTAGGTGGTTTCCAGCCCTACCCACTTTCTTGGAGTTCAATTCACCCATTACTCCTGCCAGGTGTGTCCATGTCCTAGTGTCACTCTGAGTAACCACAGGGACTAGGGTGACCTCACCTGCTCTTGATTCAGATTGAGTCACCTTACTTCCTGCTCTGGCATCTGGGGGAGTGGCAGGTCTTCATCATGGCTTCCTCTGTTGAACCAGCTCTGTCATTCAGCAGAAATGGTGGAGAGTTGGAAGGGGACCCCAGCCATTCAGAAAAATTCACCCTGACAGCTCAGTAATGATCCTGAATCTCCCAATTTTTAATAGAAAAAGGGGCCTGACCTGGGGAGGACAGCAGGTCCTCACCCATAGTTCCACAGACTTCATGACACTCCCTTCTTTTTCTTCGATTTCCACAGGAGACAACTGACCTTGAAGAATTTTTTTTTTAAGTGCTGAAAATCCAACCTAAGCTTTCATGCACGAAAAGCAAGCCCCTACCACTGAGTTGCACCCACCACTCAAACTTGACTTCTTCAAGGCCACATGGCAAGAAGTTGGCAGAGGTGGAACTGGAATCTGCGGACCTAACTTTGAAATTATTTAATAAGTACTGCATACCTAACCTCCTGGGTCAGGAAGTGGAGAGGGAGGACTCCCTGCCACAGAGCGCAGGCCCATTCAGACCCAGCCTGTACCCCTGCTCCTTTGCTTTGTGCTGGCCTTGGACAGGACCCACATTTCAGAGCAGCCACTCTTTGTTTTACACAAGAGGCTCAGGGTTGTCATTTCCTTGGTAGACAGGACCTTCAGTTGTGGGGAAAGCCAGCAGACTTTCCCCGAAGAGGACCAGACCTGTGCTGTCCCATGGGATTGTGGGATTCTGATTCTCTTCAAAAACCCTTCCTTCCACAAGTGGTCCCTGCTCCATAAGGGTCTGTCACCACTCCCCCGCCACACACACACACACACACACACACACACATACACACCAGGATTACTTCCCTCTTTCTGCATGCCAGGCTCCATCTCTCACTCATAAGCCCCTTTATAGGGTAAGACTGCAGTTCTATGCTAGCCACCCCCCACAGTTGCAAAGCACTCCGTACAAGGGTCAGCTGAGACTCTGAATTTTATGTTTAATTTAGTTTAAATTAATTTACATGTAAGTTGTTAAAAAAAAAAAAAAAGCTATGCAGCCAGGCATGGTGGCCCATGCCTTCAGTGTTAGGACTCAGGAGGTTGAGGTGATAGGGTTGCTGCAATTTCTTGGTCTGCCTAGTGAGTTCCAAGCCAGCCAGGGCTACATGGTGAGATTCCTTCTCCAAAGATATACAGAGAAACCCTGTCTCCAAAAACAAAACAAGAACGAACAAACAAAAAAGTGATATACAATTAGATTGTTGGAAAACGTTTATAATATTAGACCAGTTCGGGCATACATAACCTTTTTTCTCTTTCCTTCTGTTTTTTGACTTATTTTTATTTATGTGTACATGTATGTCTGTGTCTGCCATTTGAGTACAGTGCCCTCAGAGGCCAGAAGAGGATGTTGGATTCCCTTGTTGATAGTTACCAGTGGTTATGGTTATGAATCCCTCAATGTGGGTGCTGGGAACTGAACTCTGGAAGAGCAGCAAATGCTCTTAACTGTTGAGCCACCTCTCCAGACCCTTCATTTTTCTGTTTCTGTTTGTTTGGGACAAGGTCTCATGTAATCCAGATTGTCCTCAAGCTCATGTTCCTCTTGTCTCTACCTCCTGAGTGCTTGGATGACAAGTGCATGCTTCCATGCTCAGGTCTTAAATCTATTTTTAAAACTGATTTTTTGTTTGTTGTTGTCTGGTTTGGTTTTTTGAAACATGGTTTCTTTGTGTAGCCCTGGCTGTCCTGGAACTCACTCTGTAGACCAGGCTGGCCTTGAACTCACAGAAATCTGCCTGCCTCTATCTCTCAAATGCTGCTTTAAAGATATGCACCATTACTGTCTGGCTTCATTAATACTTTTTATTGACCCATGGTGGCATGATACTAGTTTATATGCCAGATTAAGTAAAATATATCATTAAAGTGTAGTTGGAATTTGGGATGGGGTGCTGCCAACCAGCTCCCAAATAAAGGCATGGAGTCTTGCTATTAATTATGAATACCCAGCTTTGGTTTAGGCTTGTCCCACTTGCTCTTTTAACTTAATTCAGCCTGTTTTTATTCATCTTTATTTTGTCTTGGGGCTTTTTACCTTTTTCATTCTGTATGTCCTACTTTTTTGCTTTCTCCAGGTTGGCTGGCTGCACCCCCCTCCCTGTCTCCCTGTAGACACTTTTTCTTTCTCCATACCCCCTGACTAATTCCTCCTCCTACTTACTCTCTCTGCTTGGAAGCTCTGCCTATATCCCCTTTCTCGATACTGGCCATTCACCTTTTTATTAAACCAAATCCAGTGCCTTGGGCAGGCAAGGTAAAACAGCAACACATTTTTACATAGTTAAGTAGATGCAACAAATGCTTACATAGTTAAACAAATGCAACACATCTTTGTATAACCAAACAAATATCCTGCAACATTAAACTTAATTTTACCTGAGGCAGGTATTGTGGCTCATGCCTGTAATTGCAGCACATTGGAGGCAGAGGTAGGAGGATTAGCATAAATTTGGGCAACAGACCCTATATCAAGCAAACAAGTTAACCTCCCTTGATTCTACATTTTAATGTGGCCACTGGAAAAAAGTTCAGTTACATATATGGCTTGCATTATATTTCAACTAGAAGGCAAGCATTTGGGCTCAGATCCTGGCTCTTTGTGCCCTTGAGTTCTGTAGCCAGCCTCTCGGGAAGGGAAAGGACAGGTGGTTTCTCCCTGGCAGGGCTGCTCAGAGGAACAAGTCAGATGTTTGTAGAGAGCCTGGCATGCAGTAAGAGCTCAGGAAAATATGATTATAGCTGTGATTTTACCAGGACACTCCAAAGTGCAGTTCAGCGGATCTCAGCAGCATCTCTCCAGCCTGCCCTGTGAGGGGCTCTGGGGATTTGGTGGAGAACAAGCATAATAATGTCCCGACTCTCAGGATACTCCCAATCTCCAGTGGGAAGAGCAGCCATTGCTAAAAAAAAAGACCCAGGCTAAGTCAGGTGGAGAGAAAGAGCAACATGGTGGCTTTAGCTGGGATGGTGGGAGTTGGCAGGGGGAGGCGGGGAGTAACGTTCCTCTGGGGACAGAGGACTGTTGAACTCCACCTGAGGGTTCAGGAGCCAGCCAGGTGCTGCTCTGAGGGAGAGGTGCGGGAGCTACACAGTCAGCCCCTGCACTGGCTGCACGTCCTTCACAGTCCACCTTCCGCCTCATCATAATCTTTGCATCCAGTACGGTCCTCACATTCATGGAAGCCTTGACAAACAGCTCCATATGGTTCCTCCTCTCTTCCATTCTGCACTTGCAGCTGCCGGCCTGATCTCTCTCTTCCTTTCCTCCCTGCCCTCTTCTAGGAAGCTTCCCTCATGCTTGCTATCCCTGTTGATCTCTGGCTGGGATTCTTCTACAAGAGTGAATATTTTGCTCTACATCCTCCAGGCACCCTCCCCTCCCCACGCTTTTCCCATTTCTAGGTCAGTGCTGCCTCTCCTACAAGCTCGCCCCTCTCCTCCACCCCCTCCAGTGCTGGGGACTAAGCTATTCAACAAGACCTAAGGCTTGCCACAGCCAGACTCTGGGGACTCTGAGAGGCATGTCTGCCTAGGCAGAATGGAAAAATCCCTCCTTGGGGGAAGGGCTGTGGAAATTTCTTCTTCAGGAACTCTTTTCCGACTTGGACTCCCCCCAGAATGCAGTCGAGCATTTGCCCAGTGACCTGTGAGGTGGCCTTGGCTCTTCCTCTCCACCTCCACCCCAGACTGGGATCCAGGGAGGGTGACTGGGAGGGGGGTGGGGAAAGGAACAGTCAGTGCAGTGGGCAGTGGAGCCTTGTCACCGTCACTTTGAGATGTCATCCATCCTCTACGTTCAGAGATGATGAAACAAGGGACAGTGATGAAATCATACAAACCACGGGTCATTCCTCTGCTGGTGTAGGCTCCTGTTGCCGTGTTTCTTGGTATTCCTCACCTGTAAAATGGAGATAACAGTTGCAGCAGCAGCTTTGGAGGGCTGATGATTTGATTTGACTATAAAGTGGCTGGTAAATATGAGTGATCTAGCCTCTGCAACTTGAACTTGCTTCGTCACTCCACGACTGGCAGGATGCCCAGTTCCCAATCTCTGTTCTCCATGAGGCCTGTCCTCCAGCTCACTGTAGACTGTGTTCCTAACACACCTCTTATTGTAATTGTTTTGAAACATGTGCTGCTCAGGCTGACCTTGAACGCCTGGGCTCAAGCTATCTTCCTGCCTCAGCCTTCTGAGTGCTGCCATTTTGTCCTTGATGTTGTTGTTTTAGATAGAGTCTCACTGTGTAGCCCTGGCAGGCCTGGAATTCTCTCTGTAGACTAGGCTAGAACCAAACTCTCAGAGATCTGCTTGCCTCTGCCTTCTGAGTCCTGGGATTAAAGTTGAGCACCACCACACCCAGCTATAACTGCATTTTAAAAATGTTTGTTTTTTGTTTTGTGGTGCTGCCAGTGGGACCCTTGGACTTGTGAATGCATGCCAGGCAATGCTCTACCATTGGGTTATACCCACAGCATTTTTTTTTTTTTTGAGGCTGGACCAGGGGCTATATAATTCAGGGTGGCCTTGAATTTGAAATCCTCCTGCCTCTGCTTCCCAAGTATGGGGAGACAGGCATGTGTCATCATGCCCCGTTTGAGTAGCTGCCATTTAGATTGTGGCAAAGTCTAATTTGTCTTATCATTTTGGTGCACATACATATAGGTAAATAACCACTCACTAGATAATAAATAAATAAGTAAGCCAAAAACCACCAACCCAAGAGCAGGACAATTTGCTCCTGTGTTTATCCTCTTAGAGTTTTATACAGTTTAAAATTTTGCTTTCATTCCTTTTTTTTTTTTTCCCTTTGGAGACAGGTTTCTCTGTAGTCCTGGAACTCATTCTATAGACCAGGCTGGCCTCAAACCCAGAGATTTGCCTGCCTCTGCCTCCCAAGCACTAGGATGAGTGATGTGTCCAGTGGCTAAATTCAGTTTTTAAAAGATTTACTATTTTTTTTTACTTATGTGTATACATGTGTGTGCCTCTGTGAAGTGACATGTGTCTTATGTATGAAGATGCCCTTGGAGGCCAGAAGAAAGCCCCAGATCCTTTGGAATTGGAGTTACAGGGGCATTGGTGAGCTGACTGATGCTGGTGGCAGGTACCAAAACTGGGTCCTCTGTAAGAACAGTAAGTTATCTTAACTACTGAGCCATTGCTCCAAATTATAAATGTTTTTGAAAAACAGAATCTCACTGCATAGTCCTGGCCTGGTGCTCCCTATGTAGTCTAGGGTGGTCTTGAACTCTCTAATCTCCCTGACTTTACCTCCCAAGTGATAGGATTATAGGCAGGTGCCAGGAGGCCTTGCTGGGATTTTGTTGTTGATGTTTGTTTGTTTGTTGTTGTCTGTTTTGTTTTAGACAAGGTCTTGGGTAACCTAGGCTTTGTAGCCCAGGATGGCTTCCTTGAACTCCTGATTCTACCTTTCTGTCCTGAGCGCTGGGATTAAGTTTATATACTTCCAAAAAAAAAGGTTTCATTTTATTATTTTAAAAATTGTATGTGTGCGTCTCAGTGTGGACATGTGCGTAAGTTCAGGCGCTTGAGTTGTGATCACCCTGTAGCTGGAGTTACAGCTGCCCTATATAATTATGAGCTATGAGTTATAGTTATGAGCTGCGCTGTGTGGGTGCTGGGAACTGAACTTGGGCCCCCTTCCAAAGCTGTACATATTACTAACTTCTGAGCCTTCTCTTCAGCCCCGGTTTACATCCTTTTCATCATGCTACACTTTCAGAATGATTTTTTTCTTAGGCACTTAGGCATAGAGAGAGTTCAGTGTGTACCATTTTGTCTTCTTGTGTCTTACTTATCATTTTGCTTGTAACTATGTGTGTGAAGGAGATGGGGGTGGGAACAGAGATGAAGTCTATGGTAGTAGCTTTTAAAAGTTCCTACTCCCTCTGTCTTTCTCATGAAGCTCCCCACAGATCCATTCAGTTACCCATAGGTTGAATAACTGAGCTGTAATGAAGCAACATTCCAGCAGCCTCCATCTTCACCACCACCGCCATGTGGCCACAGGCTGCCCCAGATGTCTTCATGAGCTGCCCTGATTGACATGGAGATGGAGGCTCCTTGTCTGGTCCCAGTGTAGAGTGTCTGGTTGAGTGTAGTGCTGTTTAATCTGTGACTTCTTCCTAAAAAGCCCTCATTTGGGGATTATCAATATGTCCTATAACGATCTATTGTCGGATTCTTATGTCTATGGTTGGGTTTTCTTGACCTTTCCCTGGAATCTCCAGCAGTACAGGCCATCTCCAATGGCAAAGACCAGATGCAGCTTATCTAAGATCACCTGAGCTGGAAAGCCTGGAGACAGTGGGGCACATGGAAGGCTTAGGAGTTCAGAGATCACTTTTCCTAGGAGAACCCTAAACACATGCTCCCCAAGCCACTTTGGACCTCAATATTTCCTTCTGAACCACAAGCTAAAATGAAAGGAAAGTTATATACCTAACTCAGAAGACAAGGCAGGCAGGTGATGGTCTGAGTAGGTGCTCCCAAAATGATGTTTTCTATGAGAACTTCTTATGGTTGGGTTGAGGGATAAAGTTCCATGATAAAGCATAATGATTAGTGTGTTTGAGGCCATGGGTTCAATCCCCAGTGTGGTGGTTTGAATCAGAATGGCTCCCATAGACTCACATGTTTGAATACTTGGTCACCACTTGGTAGAACTGTTTAGGAAGGATTAGGAGGTGTGGCCTTGTCAGAGAAGGTGTGTCACTGAGGGCGGGTTTTGAGGTGTCAAAGGCCCACACAATCCCCAGTTAGCTCTCTCTCTTTCTGCCCTGTGCTTGTGTCTCAGGATGTAAACACCCAGTTACTGCTTCAACGCCATGGCTGTCTGCCTGAAGCCATGTTCCCCACCATGATGGTCATGGACTAAAGTTCTGTAACTGTGAGTCTCAAATTAAATGTGTTCTTACTTGCCTTGACCATGGTGTCTTATCACAGCAATAAGCAAGTAAATAAAACTCCAACATCAAAAGATCACAAAAACCAACACATTATTGCTATACCATTATCATTGTTATTATTATTATATTTTTCAAGACAGGGTTTCTCTGTGTAACCCTGACTATCCTGGAAATCACTCAGTAGACCAGACTGACCTCAAACTCAGAGATCTGCTTGCATCTGCCTCCCAAGTGCTAGAACTAAAGGCGTGGGTCATCTTTGCCCAGCTTCAAATACAGTATTTTTTAACACTGTTTTAAAAATATTGACATCTGTAAAGATGTCAAAGGAAAGCAAGAGCCCAGGATCCTTGTGAAAGAACACTTGCTCTACAGCCAGACCCAGTACTGCTCAAACCCAGAACTGGCTTTCCCATGGTGGACCCCAGTGACATCCTCTTTAGAGTCATTTCCCAATAGTATCACCCCCTTACAGATCACAAAGATCAAGTGACTTGTTCTAGTTTATCTGCTACAAAATGTCTGAGTCAGGGTCTGAACCTAGATCTCATCAATTCTCCATCGTGTGGCCCTAGCCACAAAGGGCAAGACCTCCTCCAAGACCTCAAGCCTTTAATAGGCCCTGGGTGCAAGTCTCAGCACAAAAGATTTTTGTCTGTAATACTTCCCTAAGGTAGGTAGTAGGCATACTAACAACCTGTGTTTCTCCCCTTTCTTCTCACAAGGCTGAAGCTGGGAGAACCTAGTGTTCCCTGAGCCCAGGGAGAGTAGGTAGCTGAAGACTCTGACACTATACACAGGAGGGACCCAGTAGCACCCCACAGGGCTGGAGAGACAGAGAACAAGCAGATACAATGACATCTAGGACTGCCAAGATTTCAACATGGTCATTGTGAAAGATGGGGGTGGGGGAGGCAGAGGAGAGCCTTGAAGGAGCTGTGCTTTTCTCTAGGGTTTAAAGGAAAGGCAGAGGAAAGGGCCACATCCCTGGCAGAGGCAACTACAAAGATCAGAGCCTGGGAGTAAGCTGGGTTTTAGAAGAAGGCATCTTGGTCATGCTGGTTCTCGGGAACCAGTCCTTCCTCCATTTTACCAGCTTCAGAAAGGAAGGGCTATGGAATCATCCCACTCAGGCCTGGAGATACCAAGGCAGGGGAGGGGCTGACCATGCTTTTCCTTGTTCCTGCTTAGGGACCAGGAACGCAGAAGTGCAAGCAATGGCAGTCTCAGTTTCTTGAACAGTGCTGGTCAGCTAAGAGGGAGTGCTGGGCTGTACCCTCAGGGTCAGCCTTTGTCCAAAGAGATGGCCATTCTCCATGTGTAAGGTATTGCCCAGGCAAGTCTACAACTCACTAGATAGCCCAGACTCACCTCAAACTCACTACGTAGATCAGACTGGCTTTGAATTCATGGCAATCCTCCTGACTTTGCCTAACAAGTAGGGATTACAGGTGTACACTGACTGCCACAACTGGCTTCTAACCCAGGTTCATTCATTTTGGGGAATAAGCCCTGCAGGTTCTATAAAAGAGATAGGGGTCCCCTTGGCTACCCCAAAGGTCAGGCCTTGGATGGAATCCCTGAGGAAAACACGTATTTTTGGTCTGTTCCTTCAACTCAGTGGAGGGATCTGGTTTTCCTTTGTGGTTTGTGGGAGAGGTGGAGATCAAATCTAGGGCCTTTTACATGCTGGGCAAGCACTCCATGCTGAGCTCCATGGCCAGCCTAAGGGATCTGTTTTAACTAAGCCCTCCAAAAAGATGCGAAATAAAGAACCACTTTGCAGTCCTGGGCCCACAAAGCCTGTCTTCGATCAGGAAGAGGAACAAAGAAAGCAATAACTCTCCAAAAGCCAGTTGGTGTGGGTGGACCCTGGAGTCAGGGAGAAGTGAGAAAGGCCTTGGCCTCCTTGGCCTGACTCCAGCATTTCTGATAAGGAACTCAAATACAGCCCATTGTCTGATTGGGCCTCTTCTCTGGTCGTCCCTCTGCCATTGTGTGTGTTGGAGATTCTGCTCCTGCCTAGACCACATCTCCTGAGCTTAGGTTCCTTGTTTAGGGAGAGTTTTGAGCTCAATTGTCCTTTCCAAACTTCTCAAACCTCTTTATACCCAGAGGTAGTCATACTCCTGACCCTGCACCAGATCAACCCAGACTTTCCTCGTAGTTCGGGGCCTTAGGCTCAGAGGACTGTGACCGGGCCTTCTTGTCTGGAGAGCCAGGTAACCCTTACAGAGATGCTGCCTTCCAGGGAAGTCTGACTCATCCCTCACTTTCGGTGCTTTCCAACAGGTTCCCCTAGCAACTCCAGCAAGCAGAGCTGAGGGAGCCAGGGTTCTTGGCCCCGATGGCACAGTCCACATACCTGTTACCAGGTTTGGCAGGTAGTCCAGGAAGGGGTCAGGGAACACACAAGTGACCCCTAGAATCTGATGAAACTTGTTTTCACCAGCACCACCCACCCTGTCCTTTTTAATTCATGGTACTGAAGAGACTCAAGTGTTTTAACAAACATGTTTATTAGAAAAGTAAAAATATTGCATAGGTCTTAATACTTGAACATCAAGTGTATTCATGAACCGTGAGTATCTTCATGTAAACAGTTCTAGATGGAAGACCCAGGTGGCCACTCCTCTGGGGGAGGGGTTCCAGCCCCCCACCCCACCCCCTTCAGACCCATCCCCTCACAGTTCAATCCTCCAGTCCATGGCAGGGAATGGGCTGGACAAAGCTCCCAGGTGTTACTTTTTTCAAGTGTCAAAGATCCCAAATGATCCCAACACCCACCCCGTCCTACTCTTACATTCATGCGGCTGTAAGATAGCTGCCTCGAACAGGTCAGTAGTGAAGCTCCCATCCCCCAAAACACAAAAGATACAAAACAAACGACAAACACACTTGGTCCTTTCAGACCATGAGATACACGAACTATCTCCAAGACCTACCCCCCTCCTCCCCTCAGCACACACCCCTGGCAGACGCCAGCGCAGACCAGCTGCCCTTTTGGCTCTGTCACACTACTGTTGTTGTAACTGTCAGTAATAATAATAATAATATAAAAGGTACATGCTACATACACATCCAGCCAGAAGCCTGTGTGGCCCCTAAGCCTTTGTTTCATGCTACAGTACTAAGAGCATGTGCCCCAACAGGGAGCCACCTGCACACAACCTAGCGACCTTCCTTGACACTTCCTTCTCCAACGGGCCCTGCGCCCCTCCGGTGGCTATTGTCAGCTTTCTAACGCAGGCATCAGTCCTTCAGTCCTTGCCTGCTCGTCTCCACCACAAAACTTTCCTGTCTGCACTTTGGGGGCAATGCGAGCCCCCTCGCCCCCAGGACGAAGTTCAACACTCTTCAATGAGCAGCTGTTCGGAGCTGTAGAGTTTCTTCTTGATGACTCTGAAGCCGGTGCTCAGCGTCAGGGACTGGCTGTAGCCAGGGACCAAGGAAGAGTTAGCGGAACTCAACAGCCCCTGGATTTTGGGCCAGAGGCGAGAGTCCAGGCGCAGCACCAGGGTCAGCTGAAAGGTGGGCACCAGGCTGGGGTCGAGGGCCAGCTGAGCCACGCTATGGCAGCTCTTGCCTTGCTCCACACAGACGTCCAGCAGTGCCCCCCGCAGGCCGCACGGCTCGCTGTAAGCCAGGCGCAGGAGTTCCTTGCCCACCTGGCTCACCAGCTGGCTTGGCATTAGCAGGCGCGCGGGGCGCCGCGAGCCCAATCGCGCCTGGGACAGGCTCTCCTGCAGCAGCTGCATCAGGTTGGCACACAGATGCTCATCCTCCGGGTCACTGAGCAGCTCAAAGTCGGGCAGGGACACCCCATCCAGGTATGAGGAGTCTGGAAGAGAGAACACAAGGAACGGTGTTAGAGCGGCTTCCACAGCAGCTGTACCGGCGGGGGAGGTGCAGTTCTGCTAAGAAAACAGCGTTCTTTCCCAATCCGTGCCTCAGTTTCTCCGCCCTACACTCGTGCTTTCTAACCTCGGAGTAATTTGGTTCTCGTGCTGGGATGGAAAGCCAAGGTGGCTTTGATCTGGTACAGTTCGGTTTGTCCCCACCTCCCGGGCCCCTGGAGTTGTGTACGGCACCCGCTCACTGCTCACCTTCCTCCGGTCCGAAGCCACTGTTGCTGCTGTCCAAGGACTCACAGTCCGAGCTCTCCAGGCTCGCGCAGCGGTCAAGGCCCTCTTCTCGGGCCGCAGACCCCCAGGCGGAGCGCGGCGGCCGATCAGTGGCTGGAGTTCCGGACGAGGACGAAGAGGAGGAGGAGGAGGAGGACGAGAAACGATCCCAAAGGCTAGGCATGGCGAGGTCAGACGCCAGGACGCTGGCTGCTGAGGTTCGGGTGAGGAAGCGAAGAAGACGCTGAAAGAGAAGAGGGACAAGGATCCCGTGTCAGTGTCGGCGCTGCACAGGACAGAGGGCGCTGGGGCCCCAACAGCCGAGGTCGCCCCGCGACGAGATGTGCACACCCGGGAGGGACACTCACCAGCTGGCGCGGTC